TGGATTCACAATTTCCTTTTCCCACGAGCAAATCTGAAACTATCAAGAGATGCTTCTCGCGAAAGGAATACTTCTCCACGGACAGTCCAGAGCAAAAGCGAGGGGTTTTTGATGCCGCCCTGAACGAAAGTGAGTGGCTGTAGGAATTCTACCCGTTCAGGTGCATACAACTTCAGCAAGGTGTATATACACAGGTCAAGTCACATCCATGAGAATTCTAGATTTGAAGCTTTCGTGACTGCAAGGATTCATATTCTTAGGTGTTTTTCGGTAAAGTCACGTAGGTAAAAAATTATATTAATAAAAGTAAAATAAAATCACGACGTTTCGGAGGCAACACAAACTTCCGTCTTCAGGTGGAACCGTCACAGCACGATTGCTGTATCAAGCAAGATACAGCAATGCGATGTCTCAAGCAAGATACAGCAATTGTGCTGTGACGGTTCCACCTGAAGACGGAAGCTTGTGTTGCCTCTGAAACGTCGTGATTTTAATTTTACTTTTATTAATTTTAATTTTTACCTACGTGACTTTACCGAAAAAACCTAAGAATATGAATCCATAAGAATCACTCACGCACATTAACGACACAGGACAGGCATCTTCACAGTGGTTAAATTAGAACAACAAGAACAACAACAAGATAACTTGCATGGAAATGTGATGGCTCCGACTAAAGTTGTGTCCCCTTGCAAAGTGAAATAAAGAACGAATCTCAACGGGCTTTTGCCCCGACCTGAATGGGAGTTGAGCCTCGTCACAAAGACAACGACGAGGTACACGTACTGACGCTTGTTGGGGGAGTTTGAAGAGGAGCTGTTTAAGACGCGGTCAGAGAAGGAGAGCGGGCGAGCGCACGTTACAAAGAAATGCGTGCGTGTGGATAACAGCGTCGGCAGGCACGGGCGGGGAATGGGAAAGGAAGCGACCCCCAGATTCCGACTCTACTCGCCTGACCCTTTCGGCGCCAGCTGCTTTGCCACCATCACCCAAGCCTGCAACGGGCACTTAAACAAAAATGCGGCGTTTTTTTTCTTCTTCCCCCTTTCGTTCTTTCTTTCCGCCCCAAAGCTGTGGCGATTCATCGAAAAACTTTCGGTACTCTCGTTTATACAGAACAAGAACACGTGCGCGTGTAGACATATCCTCTATCTCAACTGTCAAATCGTGTTATTTTTTGTTATTCATAAAATAGTTTTTTCTTGAGCGGTGATTTATTTGGAGAACCTTTCGCACGCACACCACTGGCAGCTATTTAAGTTGAAGAATTCCGGTGTTAGGGCAGCGTGTGGCAGGTGTTATGTTAGCCGACAGCTCCGTATACACGCTTAATTGTATAATGCGAATCTGCCACTCAAGTCGTATATACTCCCACACGCATATCTCTCCTGTCACGTGAGAAATGGAGCCAAGGGCGCACCGCCTATAGATGTCACTGATGTAAATGCATCGTTCGTCAGCAGCAACCGCCAACAGACATTCTCTCTCCATCGCTGGACAAACGGCTGCACAGGCACGCGGGTGACAATCGCTTCCTGCCCTGCGCGTGTGGCCTCAATCCATCTCACTTGGACACGTTTACAAATGTCATCGCCCAATCTATGGCTGTCACACCAGCTCCCTCTCCGCCGCCATGAATACCCAACACCCATCAATGAGAAATATTCTAAATCATTAACGCTAATTAATTTTTTTCTCCACTTTACTTATATATATATCCCCATCAATTTTAAGCTACGCTGCTAAACTGCAGACATTTTTGGCAAATGTATCAAGCCGAAGTACAACCACACACACCCACGTGTAAGCATAGGCCCGCAGATGTTGTGCGCTCAATGGTCTTTTTTTACGCCTCTTAAAATTAATTGGCTGGCCACAGATGGGCTTGACAGCGAGTTTATGGGACGCGGAGGCCTCGTGACAGGGGGTTATCACGGCCCTGATAAGTCCAATTCATTAGCAGGGAGGTTGAGGCGGCTGCGGTGGTGGTGGTGGTGGTGGTGTGGGCGGAGGTGTGTGACACGGTCTTAGATGGGGTTTTTTTTACGTGCGTGTGTGTGTGTCTTGGCACTCCGGGGTGTGAGTGATGCTTCGCAGGTCCCTCCGTACCAGCCAGCGCCCCGTCCAGCTCTCATCCACATCCTCGCTTTCATCCCCTCCTCCCTCCAGGCACACGCGCACACCTTTACTGTGCAACTCAGCACCAGTCGAGATAGGCACGGCCTTTCAACAAAAAAAAGAGGTCTCGCGCAGATAATCTCCAACAACAGCATCTGGTAGCAATACCTTCGGTGACATTTGAAATGGGAGAGCGGTTTTGAGCGCGACTCGTGTTTTATTTCATCCGTTCTTCTTCGCCCATCACCAACGCGCTCTCGACGAGGGCAATTAGAGCTTACAAATAGGCCAAGCGCCAGAGACCATTAGCAAATTAAAAATCTGATCAGTGGCGCGCACAACGCTTCATGATTTGTCAGGAGCCCTGGGTCACACCTGGTTGAGACAAACGAAGTGCAGTTCGTGTGTCGAGTGAGCTGCATAAGGACAGACACGTGTGGCATACCACGATTAAAGCAAGTCCTACAACAAAACCAACGACTCCCACATAATCTTAAGACAGCTTGAAGTATGTTTGGGTCTTTTATCCACCAATGTTGTTCCAATTGTGTTATCAGCATGGTGCCATGTGGCACAGAATCCATTTGCAAAGCAGTGCAGCCACATGTGCTCTAGTGTCAGCCAGGGAAACAGAACTTCAGATCCCTCCAAGTGACGAATGAAAAACTTGACCTTTTCATCCACACACTTGGGGTTCACATTTTCACATGCTACACAATAGTTAAAGGTATGTATTATTGTAATTTGGTGATAAACTGAACCTAACAATTTGGGTTTTAAAAAAATAAGATGTCAAACATCTCTCGATGTGCATATGCGACATAGCGTCTAAATGCAACCGCATCTCAGGACAATGTGGGACAGGATGTTCTGAACCCGTGGGTCGCGCATTCTCCTCTCAGGGGGGAGCGGAGGCTGCGGCATAGGTGCCGTGCAGAGCACACCTCTAGGCTTACCCCATGAATATCATCGGCACAACGTTGCGACGACGGCACGCATTTAATACACAACGCGCCAAACAGAGATTTTAAAGCGCCGTAAGGGGCCATTCATTGAGTAGGTACGCAAAAATCTGTCAAAACTTGACCCCTCCACCCCTCACTGTACACACGCGTACTTTTTACACCCCCCCCCCCCCCACCTGCGTATGTACGCTTGACTACACCCCCCCCTCCAAATCGTCCAGGGGGTCTGGAGGTCCCCCCCAAAAAAAATATCAATTTGAAAACTAATTTACTGCCATTTCCTGCCTAAAATATTTTTAAAAAATACTAACCCATAGGATGTACTTTTTATTAAATTTTTACAATAATGTCTAATAGTGTATTGTATTGCATTGCTCTGTTTGTTTTACCCTTTCTTGTTTCATTATATGTAATGGCAGAGATTAGGGATTAATAAAGTACAACCATAACCACAATCATATAAACAGAAATCTTTTTTATAGCAATATATGGGGGGGGGGGGGGGGCATTTTGAGCATATTTGAATATATTATAATTACGGCCTTAGTTTAAGCAAACAGATAGTCCACTCATTTGAAGGCCAATGTAGACAAATTATTATCGAGGCTTCCCCCCCCGTTCCCTATGCGTACATTCTCAGTAGGCCCCCCATACGCAAGCGCACGCATTTGGGTAACCCCCCCCCTCCCCCCTCCATGCGTACGGACTAAATTGTGAGCACTCGGATACCAGCGGTCCCGATTATCGGCCCCTAATCGCTGAGAAATACCGGCTGAGTTGGGGGGGGAGAAGTGACTAATTAATTTTACCAGCCACAAAGACATTCAGTGCAGCAACAGCACCACCATGCGGCCAGTGATGGGATTACAGCCAGCGGTTGCCCGAGCTGTCTGCCCCCCAACCGACAACGCAGTCTAAAATTGCCTTCGGTCGCCCCCTCGTGTCTGTTAAAGTCATACATTTGTTAACGATTCATCGAATACTTGGAGAGGCGGGGCTGGAGAAGGAGGGAGGGGGGAGGGAGGAGGAGGGAGAGGGTAAGGGGCCGTCCATAAATGACGTCACGCGATTTTGGACAATTTTGGACCCCCCTTCTCGTCAGACCCGCCTCAAATATGACGTCACAAAGCTCTGCCCGCCCCCCCCCCAAAAAAATAAAACATGCTTCAAATCGCTTTCAACTATTGTCATTGTAGTGGGTATTTAATGTGGCGCTGCACTCTGATGTTGTCGGAGAAAACATTTATTAAAAAGTATATTTAATTCAGTAGAACGTGTTGTCTATATTTATTTAAAGTAATTTATGGACGGCCCCTAAGAGGGGGAGGGAGGGGGGGAGGAGGGGGGGAGGGAGGGGGTAGGTGGGGGGAAGTGGGGAAACAGGGGGTAAGGGAGGAGGGGGAGGAATAAGGAAGGAGGGGGTATGAAGAGGGGGAGGGAGGAGGAGGGAGGAGGAGGGAGGCGGGGGAGGAGGGAGAATGAGGAGGAGGGAGAGGGAGGAGGGGGGAGGGAGGAGAAGGGGGAGGGAGGAGGAGGAGGGGGAGGGAGGAGGAGGGGGGAGGGAGGAGGAGGGAGGCGGGGGAGGAGGGAGAATGAGGAGGAGGGAGAGGGAGGGAGGAGGAGGGGGGAGGGAGGAGAAGGGGGAGGGAGGAGGAGGAGGGAGGGAGGAGAAGCGGGAGGGAGGAGGAGGGGGAAGGGAGGGAGGAGGAGGGGGTAGGGAGGAGGAGGAGGGGGTACGAAGGAGAAGGGGGTACGAAGGGGTAGGGAGGAGGAGGGAGGAGGAGGATGAAGAGGGAGGGGGTGGAGGAGGGACGAGGGGGCGGGAGTAGATAAACTCCTCCCCCCTCACCGCCCACTAATCCAGACTCGACAAATCGTCAACCGATCCCCGCGTCCTCTCGCCGCGGGCCAGGCGAGAGCAGTCGATCGCCGAGCCGAGCCGGTGCTGGTGCCGCAGGGAAGGAGGTTGAACCATCACCGCCATGGCGGCGTCCAAGGTGAAGCAGGACATGCCTCCGTCGGGAGGTTACGGGCCCGTGGACTACAAACGAAACCTCCCCAAGAGGGGCCTGTCTGGTAACAAGGGGACTGTGTGGTGATCTGTGGCTTCACAAGCTGGGGGTGGTTGTTGTTGATTCCCCCACCCCTGAATTTGATCTCGGCACAACGAGGCAGAGGTCGCGGCCTAGGCTCTGACACTAAGGCCTTGGTGTTGTGGGGGTGTGGGGGGCTGTAAAGGTGCACACAGATTGTTAATGTCGGTGTTGTTGTTGTTATTCGTGTGTTCGTACGGAAATGAAGCGATGGTAATCGTCAACAAATGGCAGACGCGCGGAGATGAACACAAGGGCACGCGGACACCCACATCTTTGCGCATCCCATCCGTAACCTCCATCATTTTTTGAAGTTTACCTTCCACCCGTCCGCATTAATATCTACGTAGTTAATTAATCACACATTCACGTTGATCGTATACGCTCGTTGGTTGCGCGTCTCAAGGTGTCTCGTCGGCAATGGGCGAAAGCCTTAGCACCGCGGTGCCGGTGTCAAGTTGAAGACACCGCGACCCGGGCTCGTCTCGTGGTCTCGCTTGCCTCGTCCTCGTCGTCTACTCACCACGATCTCCAGCTACGCCAACGTAGCTGGAGGCTGGCGGCGATTCACAATTCGAATGCGCACAGTTAACACATTGTCCTGCTGCGGAGGGAGCTGGTAGCTCGGTCTATGGCCAGGGTCAACGGCGGCGTGGTGTATTCCGCAAATATGGCCGACTGTGAGAGTGGGCACAAGCCGGCGTGAGTAGGTTAAACGTTGAGTTTTATAAGGGCACCACGGGGTGACCAGCCCCTCGCCACCCAGCCCCACCCTCCCCACCCAGCCCCTCCCCACCCAGCCCCACCCCTCCCACCCCCCACCCAGCCTCACCCTCCCCACCCAGCCCCTCCCCACCTAGCCCCACCCCACCCATTTTTGGATGCACGACAGACGGGCACAATAATCCCCTGTGGGCTGGTGTAACCAGGAGGTTCCTACCAGTATAGGAGTCCTCTTATTCCTCCTGGGAGACGAGTCGATGCGAAGGGCGCTGTTGTAAACGGCTTGGGTTGTACACGGGAGAGTGTCACAATGCAGCACAATAATCATTAACAATATATTAAATAAAAAATGCCATGCTTAATAGTTTTTTTATTTTTAGAACGCGCGCGTTTTTAAATATATGCGATTATTGTTAGTGATTTGGTGATTCGTCAATACCTGGTCTTGCACTCTCTGCCTGGGTGACAAGTAGTAGCACTCTCTGCCTGGGTGACAAGTAGTAGCAACGTCTTTGCCACAGCCTGGCCAGCTGACTCAAAACTTCAAGGGCGTAATGAATCACATTGATGGATGGGGGACAAATACTATCACCAAGCATTGGAGAGAGCATGGCTTATGATGACTGGCCTGCTTTTGAAGAACGTGGTAAAGACATACGTTATGCCAACCGCTACTGTACAGCCCTTTTGTCAATCCACTGCTGGATGAGCCCCCCTCCCCTCCCCCATGCAAGTTGCAGGGGTTATTGACCCTTCATCAGCATATTGGTCAGTGCGTGTTGGTGAAGATGGAGAGCATAGACGGAGCATAGTATAGTCCAACAATAGATGTTTCTCCACTGACAACCAATGCTATGATATGCATGGTGGTCACCCAGCTAAGTAGTATCCAGGCTCAATTCAGCTTAGCTTTCCAGACCTAACGAGATCACGTGCATTATAGGTGATTAGGTCACAGGCGTATGCCACCTTTCCTTCGTGTAGTAATCACCTTTAAAGAGTCCCCCTTTGCTTTTGAGCAAGGCCACCCATGAACGGCTCCTCCAACTTAAATTCAATTCCAGTTTAACTGCATGAGTCCATGGAGATGTTTTTTTAAAAATATATTTTGCAAGACAGATACGAGTGACCTCGGTTGATGATGCACATTTGTTCACGTGTTTCCCACGTTATATATACATTTCTCTAACTTGTCACTGGGGATTTGTGGCTTGCTCTTGCTAACTATATTGTCTCGGGGGGTCATTAATGGCCCGTTTTTACAGGCTTAGGGCACGCTTTAGTAACGTCCACTGAAATTGTCGGCCAATATTCTTGAGCCAATTTCCCAGCGATGCATACACGCAAATCAGATTCCCATCTGCTGCATGGCACGTGACGGATGCTGATTATTACCGTGAGCCATCATTAATCCACCGCAGGATGAAAGCCTCCCTGAGCCATCACGTGGTCCTGTGATGCGACAATCCATTTAGCACCTGCACACAAGCTAATTTCGTGTCCACTCGGGCCTTTTAGCACATTTAGCAGCCAAGTAAATGATAGGCTCTGTGGCTCATTGTGGTGACCAGGGTTAATATTGCGCTGCCTGCGGATGTCAACTGTTTAATAAAATGTCACCGTAAAAAAATTGCGACTGTGTTTAAGCTGCATTGTGTCCTGGGCTCTGTCACCAAGGCCTGCCAGCACACTTTGGCAAGGCTGCTGAAACTTGCCTGTAAACAATGCTCAATGAAATATATATATGTAATACATTAACTCGAGAACTGTTGATGGTTTTCTCATTAATTAACACAAAGAAGTTGCGTTGTGTTTTTTTTCAGCCGGATTATTCAAGATATTCTGTACTTGTGCATTCTTTTTGATTCGCAACGTTAAAGATAATGCACAGTATACGCTTTTTGCTCCCAACAGGATACTCCATGTTTGCCATTGGGATTGGACTCATGTTATACGGCCAGTATAGGATTTTCAAGTGGAACCGAGAGAGAAGGTAAGCGCCTCCGCAGGATACACGCGCGACGTCGTGATCTCAGCACGCGGTTGCAATCCGCCATTGACAAACAACTCGCCGCTGGTATTGTTGCATTAACGTGTCCCCTGTCTCTGTGGTGCCCGCCCGCCGCATGCAGGCGGTTGCAGATTGAAGAGTTGGAATCTCGGATTGCAATCTTGCCCCTTCTGCAAGCGGAGCAAGATAGACAGTAAGACTTGTTCACCTGATAGAACATGCAAATATGAATGCACAATTACTCGTTTTTCAGTGTCCTATTTACGTTGTACAATTAACTCGATTTTCCTGGTTGTGGATTAAGTATGCGGGGAAAAAATACTTCAACACGTGCACTTGTTTTTAATAGCTGCTCCAGAATTGTGTTAGCTGTTCCTGAATTGTGTAGGCTCTTTGACCCAGTGCCTACGCGACTGCAAACATGTTGGGAAGCAAAGTGCTAACTTTAAGAAACAATATGAATAGATAACACATTCACACTCATTCCACGTTGGTAAGCAATACATGTTTTTATGTATTAATTTACCTACGTTGTCTAGGTCACCCCGCGCCTCGATAACCCTAGGTAATCGGGAGGTGAGCGTTGTTACATTTGGACATGAAAGTAAAGTGATACGTCCGTTGGGTTTCTGCGAAAGTGTTTTGCAGCAGGTGCGCGAGAACCTGGAGGAGGAGGCCAAGATCATGAAGGACGTGCCCGGGTGGAAGGTACGAACGTCCTGAATGTTACAAACAACTAAATAGTTTACCGATGTACTGTTAAAGCTGGGACGATGAAGTACAATGAAATTAATGATAACAAAGTGTATTCTTAAAATACAAATAGGAATTTTAAAATGATTTTCACTCTTGGTTTTATATTCCGGTTGAATGTTAAATCAACATTCTTATTTCCTCAATGAAACGTTTCGGAATGTGTTCGACCTCAGAAGGTGCTTTAGTCACTGCTGGTTTATCTTGGATCTACCCCATGTGTCCTTTGACATTAAGGTGGGGGTGCCAAGTGATGTCATTGGCTGTATGTGTTCGACCTCAATCACTTGACTGAAGGGTGTGTCTTTAATTGTACTTGTGACCTTTGTGATTGCGCTGGCAGTACGAACCGCAGCCAGCGGTCGAAACGCGTGGTGAAAAGCCTTTGTAATTACCGGCGAAATGCCGTACTCGATTTGTAAATATTGTGTGTTTACTCTACAACACACTGGTGTGCTGAACTGGTAACTTATTGCCATGTTTTATTTACATGACAAACGTTACGAATTGGCTGTGTCCGCTGATGGCGGGTTTAACGGCACATTTATATTTACGCCATCTAACCCAAAAAACCTCTTACGGATAATATTGGTCGCAAAAGCCTCCGACGTGTTCAACTGAAAAACCTTTAATGTCCGAGACGGCACCTTCTGTTTCAGTTCATGCCCAGCGGCAGTAGCAGCAGCAGCCGCAGCTGTTTATTTTAAACAGGAATATAGACTTTTTTTTCGATTTAAAGCTTTCGTGACTGCAGGGATTCATCTTCTTGGTTCTTTCGGTAAAGTCACGTAGAAGGGAAATAATAAAATAATAAAAATTAAATCAATAATTTTCACGACGTTTCGGCCACAATGCAAGCAGCCGTCCTCAGGTGAAGAACATGTCTTCCCGACAGACCTGTTCTCCTCCTGAGGGACGGCTGCTTGCATTGTGGCCGAAACGTCGTGAGAATTATTTTATTACGTGTTATTTTTATTATTTTCCTTCTACGTGACTTTACTGAAAGAACCGAGAAGAGGAATATAGACAACGTGAACTTGCTGCTTATCTTTCAAGGACGATGCCCTCTCTGCCCAACCAGGTTGGCGAGAGCGTGTACAACTCGAACCGCTGGCACACGCCCACCATTGACCAGCTCTACTTCCTGAGGGACGACGTGGACTTGGCTCGCGATAAGCTCAACCACCTCTTCCACGTGTAGCACAGCCTACCGCGATCACTCCTCAAAATGGCCATTTCGGGGAGGACGAAGAGGATAAGACGATCCACTCGTCTACTCTGTTCCACTTCAACATGAAGTTTTAGTCGTGGAGGAGTTAAGTAAAGTCTGAAGAACGCCAAAAGGTGGCAGTGTTGGATTTCCACGGCAGCGTTCTTGATTGCAGGATAGATCAAATTGCAGCCTTGGCTGGGAAGTTACCCGTTTCGACGTTTCTTTTAAAGTGCCGTTTCAATTACCACTAATGTGATGTTGAGATAATGTCCAAAGTGCTATCGTATTCATTAGATTGGCAAAAAAAAAAACCCAAGTTAAGGTGAGACTGAGTAATGCCGCCGTGGAAATGAGATTATGAAACGCTCAATGCATTCACGTGTTTTGCGGCTCCTTTGTTTTGTGTTGAAGGTACAGTTTGAGTCTGAATGTTACGTAAGCAACAATAATAAAACTAAACTGTCTCCTAATTTGTTGTTTTCCCCCACCCTCTGCTTATCTCTACATTTTTGAAATTCCTTCTCTTGGGCCCTGGCACTTGAATGATGAATATCAAGGGGGTGCAAGCGATAAGTGTGTTCACAAACACGCCTTTCGATTTAAAGCTTTCGTGACTGCAGGGATTCATATTCTTGGTTCTTTCGGTAAAGTCACGTAGAAGGGAAGTAATAAAATAATAAAAATAAAACATAAAATAATTCTCACGACGTTTCGGCCACAACGCAAGCAGCGTCTGAAGCTGCCTTTCCGACAGACCTGTTCTTCACCTGAGGACGGCTGCTTGCGTTGTGGCCGAAACGTCGTGAGAATTATTTTATTATGTTTTATTTTTATTATTTTATTACTTCCCTTCTACGTGACTTTACCGAAAGAACCAAGAAGTTGAACACGCCTTTGTTAAACGTAGGTTTGGGCCCCGTATTAAACGTATCACATTGACGCCAACGACTAAGCTCGTGCCAGGCACCGACTTGCGGGGTATTGCATACAAGAACACAGTCGGCTGCGATAAAATTACAATCCCTGTATAGAATACAAACTGTCCTTTGTTTACTCTGGGCTTTGGCGAGATTGTTTTTGTTCCATGCGATTGAATCGCATCTTGCTCGAGTTCCCCCAACAAGTGTTCACAATGGCACAGTTGTGTTCGTTTCAGCTATGCGCCAACTCCACGGTATACGGTCAGGGACGGGTTTAAACCCCTACGAGATGGGTATCGACAAGTTTGTTGCAGGAAGATGTAAACAAACGAGTGGACACAGCCGGGTTGTCGGCTTTTGTCACCTGCACGTCCTTGTCGCTCTGCCGTACATCGCCTAACGGGTCCCTGCTGCTGTTGGAACCATAAACGGGGATAAAACCCCGCAGTCAACCATCCCTGTCGGTGCACAGCTCTGCATGTATCTGGCCGGGCGATCGGAAGTTAAATACAGCCGGGGGGGGGGGGGGGTGGGTTCCACTCGCCATCAGATTCCCCTGCGCCACTTCTCGTTGCTGCACCAACGGTGAAAACTGCCACGATCGGTGTTGCATTGAGTTAGAATGAGCCCCCAAATCAATCCTTTACACCTGCTTATACAGGTAGGAACAACAGGTTCCACACTGCCCACCAGGGATTATTTGTCGTGCATGTGGGGCTGGGTGGAGAGGGGAGGGCTGGGTGGGGGCTGGGAGGGGAGGGGCTGGTCACCCCGTGGTGCCCTTATAAAACTCAACGCTTAACCGACACACTACACTATACACGACACGATACACTACACTTTTCCAGGTAGGAACAGGTTCCACACTGCCCAACAGGGATTGTCTGTCGTGCACGAATGCGCTGTCCAAGTTCCTACCTGCCCACTCCGAAGGAACGTGTTTTGCACATGCTAATGGATGGTCGTGAACTCCAAGCAGACACACACACGGACAAACGCACACACACCAAAGACAAATATCCCCCGTATAGCCTGAACAGACTGTTGGGGCATGTGCTATTAGCGAGCACCTATGAAGGCTGGTTCGGCGTACGAGGGGGTGGGTAGCCAGCACCACGCCTTTGTCTACCTCGTGGCGACGTTGACTACACGCCGCACCAGGTACTCGTTTGAGGCCGAGTCGACCTAGGGAGAGGTCCAGGACCGGTTCACATAATCGTCACTGGTGCTGGCCGCTAGTGAGAACCGAACTCAGGTCGCCGGGTTCGTAGCGCTCCCCACAATTATACACATTCTCGTGCAGGTGGTCGAGCACCTTTGCCTTGCGAACAAGACCTCAATAGTCGTGCAACCAGGGAGTCAATTCTCTCAAGATACAAGTGTCAATCACATTCAGAGTGAAGCCTGCCCAAAACCCAGTTCGCTTTACAGCCCCCAATGGAATTAGTATTGTCTCGAGCGTTTAAATACGCTGCAGCATGCAACGTCAGCGGTAGGTGCAGTATAGAAGACGACGTGGACACTTACCAGGCATAGCGAGAATAACTCATTCCCACACTTACGCCTTGTCACGCAGAGCAGAGAAAAAAATAGGACACAAAGCCATTATCCGCGAATGTGCCCATTCACTTAAAGGCAATTTTATTATAAATATTCTATGAAGACTGACAATTCCAAACATGATTTATTTTCGGCAAAGATGCGACAGCAAATTACAAATATCTATCAAAAATAAGGCACTTGAAAATATCCAGAATTCCCTTCACCAACGATTTCACCAGTTGTACATGGTACACTTGTCGATAAAAAAGTAACTTTTAAAGCATCGTTTGCACCGAATTGCATATTCAACCCGCGGAGAAACGAATACGGCGCACGGCGTAGAAAATTATAAATGTACAACAACGATTGCGATGGCTCCCACACCTGTTTGAGGCTCCTTGGAGACAGCGTTCGTAGCAAGCGTACGGGCGTGCAATACGGCAAAGTGAGAACTTTAATTGTAGGTTGGGGGGGGGAGTTGGCAAAAAATTAAATAGCACAGGTAGCCAGCCCCACGCCACGTGACATTTTTGCAACAACCCACCTGATAAACACAACCGGGGGTGTGCACGACGGTTTGCTGCGATTCCGTACTTTTTTAACTTTCATTTTGACGTCCAAAAATTCTCACATTTCCATCACCTGTTTACGTTCTTGAATTAAAAATGGTTAACAAAAAAAAACCATGACTTGTTCAATAGAAAGTGAACCTCAAAAGTGAACCAAAATAACAACAATAAACCAGCCGAGGCCTCGCGTTTGGAATCCCAAGTACAGCGCCTGGCAATGCCACACTTAAAACGTACAACGTCAACGAGAGCCGATCCACGAACAGCATCTGGAGCCTTGTGCCCAAATAGAAACATGTTAGAATGATCGTTAAAATGTAGTTTACATGATAGTAGATCCGTGGAACGCATTTGTGCAAAAAAAACACTTTCAAGTTACCCAACCATTGTATACAAGAAAAAACTTCAATAATATTCATAAGGTCCATGAGCAGTTAAAAATTACATACAGCATTTGGCCACCGTAACGGACGGTGGATTTTTTTGTCGACACTTTTACGAAAAGAATTACAACTAAAACAATCTCACACCTTCCAGCAAAAAAACAGATAGGCACCTTAGCAAAATCGTACCCGCTATACTGCAAAAATGTATATTTTATTTCCATAATCAATTCTCAACTGCAAAGTGACCCGTCGCCCGGGTGTCTAAAGATATTCCTCAAGCGAAGGAATGTCAAAAGTATAACCCTTGATTTATACTGAATATTTTTTTTAGATTCCACACGTGGCTATTAGTGTTGCTTTGTATTAGTGCAGGGACATAAGACAGTTGTGCTTTTGTGCCCGTACCAACAACGACTTTCGTCCGGCACATAGTGGGCACAGTCGTGCTGCTGTACGACTCGCAAGCCCCCCCCCCCCAAACCCCCTCGCTGGTCAAGATGCAAGCAGGGTTCTTGAGAAAAAAAAAAGTTTTGCCCATCGACAGAGTTGACCGCGATGGCCTACAGCAGCTGAAATAGTACAACGATAAGGTTGGCCAAAAGGTGGCTCAGGTCACAGCGCGGAGTCCTGGCTTTGAATCCGGGCAGCAAACCGATCAACAATGACCGGCCCAACATAAAAAATAAAACGCATCATGTCGAGTTTGGATCTGCATAGAATTTGGAGAAACTCCAGCCTTAGGAATTCAAAGATATCGGCGGTAACCGTTGTACTACGAATATCTCTTTGCAACATGGGTCAGAAAGTGTTGCCCTTTACTGTCTGAACCAGAGGTCATTAGAGAAAGTAGTTGTGATATCCGTATCTGCAGACCGTCCTCTTAACAATATGGGCATGGTTGCACTGCTACTCTGCGAGCATTCCGAATCGATTCTCATGATGCTGATAACACAGTTGGGTTAAAAGGAGTGAAAACAGACACAAAAACACATTTTCATCACCACCCGTCGCTAGAACTAATCCGTCGTGGGGAAAACCTTCAACAGCTACTCAGCGTGACTCTTCGGCAGGTTGATCGCCCCGTTGGCCTGAACGGAGTTCGGCTGCTGCTGCTGCTTGCTGTAGAGTCCGACGGCAAAAAACGCAATCACAAACAGGTTGAGGGCGATGGCCAGACAGAAGGCGCCACCCGTCTCGAGCAACGAAGGAGCTGCCACAGAGGCCGTGCTCAGCCAGTCGGCGCGCGAGTGCAGGTCCAGAAGCACTGCCTTTATCTGGAAGTGCGTGCCCACGATTGCAGACACGTGGAACAGCTGGTGGCTGTGGCCTGCAGACGCACGTCGCAGGGATTTTGAAAGTCAGCGGTCGACGGCGAATATTATTGGCGACGATTAAAAAAAATTACATGGAAGAATTGGCCGTTGTTTGGTACGAGACTCGCACAGCTACGCGCCGCAGTTATGGAGATGTCGTAAGAGAGCCACAAAGGAAGTTGGCTCGCGATGGAATTTCTGGATTTTTGCCCCCACCTTCATATAAGTGATGTGGCTTTACCGAAAGAACCAAAGAGTATGGATTCCTGCAGTCACGAAAGCTTCAAATCAAGATTGCTCCGATCCAGAATGAATGATTTCACCCATCCCTCACTCCTATTGCCATTCAATTTATTTTAACGATGCAATGTTAAGATAAAAAAATTTACCCAATTTTTTTGTTTTATACATTATGGTGGTTATAGCGCCTCTAGTGGCTGCATCGGTATCACAAACTCATTGGCTGACAACTGGAGTGGGGAAAAAAAGCGTGTTCGCTTGTACATGCCCTCGCGCCGATATTGCAATTGATATTTAAAACAGTTTCCGTGGACGTTTGATGTATTTTTGCTGATGACAACGATACGCAAGGTTAACTGTTCCTTACCGACGTAGTCAAAGAAGCCGGGCGCCAGGCGCTCCGGCAGGTGTGTGGCAAAGAGGAAGCCGGTGAGAAAGGCAAATAAAGTGTGCAGACGATGAGTTGGCACGGCTTCGTTGTCCGTGCATCCCTCTCCGGAGCACAGAAAGATCTGCGAATGGCACCGTCGCACACAGAGGAGTCAACGCGTGAATTGAGGACGTTGTCTTGGGGGGGGGGGGGGGGGGAAGGTTGATAACCCACATATATGGACGGGGTTCCCAATTTTCAGATGAATTCGAAAATGCTATCAAAACTGGCTTTGCATTTAAATTCTGGATGATTCGGATTTTTTAAAATGTATTATTTGGATCGATCCAAGAATGTGACGTCACCAGAAGCGTTGTCACTTGCATAAGGTGATGTCACCCGGTGCCACGTGATGTCAATTTTGTTGCACGATGGCAATTAAATTAGTACCTCGTGTACATGGTCCCAAAAGTGTCTTTGAAAAGCCAAGATCTAAAAATGTTCAATCACAAACGAATCCGTAACCTTTTTGCGTCATTTGGTCCAACACCATGTGAGACTAGGCTCTAAGAAAAGCTGTCTCGGGTGTGGACCAATCAATTTCAAGGACAGTGCATACATTAATCAGAGTTGTGTTTTTTGTTTGCATTCCGACCGCAGGTATTGTGGTCGGAATGCAAACATGACTCCTTGTGAAAAAAGGTGTCAGTTTTGTTGCCAGATAAAAGGGTAAAAAACCAATTATCATATTTTGCTACTGGCAAAGGAGGTTCCAATGGTGACATATTCGGTGCCTTAAGATAAACAATGTGAGTGCCACGGAACACTTTGCAATTCACTTAACAAATCACCGTCGATCCACTTCATCTGCCTGTTCTCAACATCTAGAGTCAACGTGCATTTAGAGTATTTGGCTGCTATTCATTTCCACGTGATAAGCCACTTCGTTGACCAAACACTTGTGATAGCCAGGTCACCACTTCTGAAAAAGAGCGATATAGCTCAGTGGGCCTTACCTGGTAAAATAAATAAAAAAGTTTAGTTTTAAAGCCTCGTTTGTAGCCAAATGTGCTAATCGGAGGTGCGGGTTACCCCAGGACACCCACCCCCCCCCCCCCCCCTGCATGTTTCAGCAGAGGTTCTCTCCTGGACAACAACGGCTTTGGTCATTCGCCTACGGTGCAAGGAGAGCTGCATGTTTATCTACCGGCGACAAGCCGGAGTAATGATTTGTGCGACGGTACATTTTCCGCCCTTCGTCAATCCACTGCACGGTAAAGCCCTCCCCATGCCTTGTCAGTCATGGAGGGTGCTTGATCATACTTCGCCACAATTGGGGGGGAGCGGGTTGTGCGGTGCCCTGCCCAGGAACAGGATTCAGATCTCATCTTACCACTGATATTAACCGAAGAACTCAAAACTAACCGCTGCGCCAATGTTCAATCCTCATTCAGTGTGTGTGCGTGTACGAGGTTGGTTTGTCCGGCAGAAACAACACACTACCTCCTCATTGGTGCCGGATGGCAACGCTGTGATGAGCAGTGCTGTGGGGGGTAGGGCCCATTTAAATTGGCCATTCCCCTCATGGCTCTGGACGGGTGCGAGGGGCTGGTAACCCCTCCACCTTCAATTAATTACCACAGAACCACGTATAAAATATGTAATTAAGCTTGTGCCGGAGGCCCCGTGCTTTCGGAGTGCCTGACCCTCTGCTCACGATCATTAGGGACCTTCATGATGGTGCGCGGGCCCGGGTAAAACTACATGGTCGGGAGTCGGAGTCAGTCCCTGTTCACCTTGGAGTGCGACAGGGATGTCCTCTGGCTCCCACATTGCTTAACATATTTTTTGACCACGTAGTTCGTGAAGCCTTCGATGGCTGTACCAGAGGAATTTCCATCTGGTACAGATACAATGGGAGGCTAATCGATGCTTGGGTGCGGTCAAGGGATGTCTCCCTATTGGTCAACCACGTTATGTATGCCAATGATCTGGTAATTGCTGCTCACTCAGAGGAGGAGTTGGAGGCACTGCTGCTGAACCTGGGGCTTGCTACTAAGAGGTGGGGCCTTACCATCAGCCCCACCAAAACTACGCACCTGCCTGGGTATTTTGTACCATCTGACACTCCACCCTTACAACTCTCAATTGGTGATGGGGCAGTTGTGGAGAGAGTGGAGAGTTTCCCATACCTGGGCAGTGTGCTAATGACCGGCTCCGGTTTGACAGCAGAGGTCTCACTTCGCATCAGTCGAGCGGCATTTTCTTTTGATCGGTTGCATAACGCTGTGTGGAAGCTACCTGGTCTGCCGCTCCACACGAAGCTTCAGGTCTTGTCCGCCACGGTCATTCCCTCCCTTCTCTACGCTTGCAAAAAGTGGACCCCCCTAATGTAACATCTTCGCCGGTTAGAAGCATTTAGGCTGGCCTGCCTACGATCCATCCTGGGTTTAACCAGGCTGGATTGTGTGAGGAGCTCACAAATCCCTGAAAGATCTGGACAAAGTCCCATCTGTGAGCTCCTCCGGCAGGCAAGGCTGCGTTGGTTGGGTCATGTAGCCCGCATGCCTAGCAATCACATTCCTAAACAGCTTTTGTTCGGCCGGATAGAGTGGGTTGAACGGGCGCGGCACGGGCTAGAGAAGAGATGGAGTGATGTGGTACAGGAGGATGTGGAGCTGAGTGGACTTGCCGATGACTGGTACCAGCGGTGTTAAGATCGTTCTCTGTGGAGGAGGCTCGTGAAGGACGCTACTGGGCAGTTGGAGGCAGTCGCCCTCCAACAACAACGGAGGGCAGAGGAGCGACGCTCACAACAACGAGCTGAGCGCCGGGTGGATAAAGCACAACAAGTTGGCACAGTAGGGGGCACAGGTGGTGCATCAGCCAGTCATCTCAGTCAGTCGACCCGTGGCACCTGGGTCTGTCCTGTGACCTCCTGCCAGCGGGCGTTCGACACTTCACGTGGCCTCAAGGTGCACATATCCTGGCACAAGCGTTGTGGTGACATCACCGCCACTTAGTGGCGAATGGCGGTTGTTGTTGTTGAAGGTTGGTTATGTGCTTGGCTGACACAAGCGTGCTTGAGAATCCAGGTGTACAAATGCATGAAATTATACCGTGTTACATAATGCACATTAATGAGCGCTTAAAATACATTGCGTCGTTTTTAAATGGAAGGTGTGGGGCGAATGAATAGTGGATGACGCACCCTGTAGAAGAGGGGAATGTTGTCAAACAGGTAGGGGAAGGCAAATGCCACTACCCTGAGCACCTTAGCCATGCGCGGCCGCTTCAACTCCAGGGAACTGCAAAAAATAACACGCGACACGCAAGGTTGTTGACGATGCAATTCTACTTTGTCGTTCCGTAAAATCCACAGGAGCGACGAAACACGAGCCACAGCAGCGACCGTTGAATGTGCAGGAAAAAAATTCTCGTCGACTCAAATGTAAAGGTCCGCACGATGTAAGCACAGTGTTGCATAGCGATGCGCTCAGATTATAATTCATGCACGAAACAAGGGTGGGCATGCAGGCGGGCTCACCTTTCAAGTGTGAAACGATTGTAATGGATGAACGGCAACCCAAGCCTGACGGGTAAATGATGAAGACAAAAATCAACGAAACATCAGGGAGAACTTAAAATTCACATTTGAAAAAAAATACATAATTTTTAAACACATTTATGAATCGTGGGAACCAGCTTTGCAGTTACGAAACACAAAGGAAGTCAGCGACCTGGAAAATAATTCTACACTCGAAACACCACATCCATTGGTATCGCTGTCGAGGCAGACTCCAGTCTTACCAGCCACCCAGAAAACATTAAGGCGAGAAGTTGTGCACTCACAACATCTAAAAGTCGGCTTTTTGTAATGACAAAACGGGATCAACACTTGCGCAGGGGGCCACGTGGTTTTACGAACACGGCCACATGCACGCTGATAATACATTTTACATTTAAACATGCTCAGTCAACATGACATCGGCAATATCAGCAGGTGTGTCGTGGAGAGGCGAGCAATATGAAGAGACACTTTTTTCCATAATCGGAACCTTTATTTATCCTAGAGAAATCCGCTGATCTTTGAAGCTCTTTTTCAGATATGTCCAGTTGGGGCAGGTCAGAAAGTTACAACAACAAATAAAAAAAATAGGAGTGCAAAGTCCAGGAAAGGAAATCACAAAAAAGAAAACACGTAAAATAGATTAAATATATCAGTTCAAATTGCACAAGTACACCAATTGCCAAGCTTTGACAAGGCAGCAAAAGAACAGTCCCAGACCACGCCAAAGTTAAACACACAGTCGCTCAATACAAATCACACATTAAAATGGAACTCTCGATACACGGGTTAAGAATAAAAGTTACAAAATCACCTTTGCAAAATGCAGTTGGTAACCAGTTCCTTCCTGTGGGTGTCAAGAGACCGCAGTGAAAGTTCACCGGCTCCCCCCCCCCCCCCCCCGCCCCCCGACATTTGTTCGCAACGAGTTTCACGGCGAAACGCGTTCGGCATCTCGCGCGAAGCCTTCGACACGCACGGCGGTGATACCCCCCCTCCCCGCCGCCGCCTCGGCCGTGGCAACGTGTGGGCGATCCGCAACGCACCGCAACGTTCCAAGGGACAACAGGCGACTTCGCCGACCCCTTGAAAAGAACGTAAACGTTTGGCACACCTGCTGAGAAAGGACCCCCCCCCCCCCTTCCAAAAAAAATATCTTGAGGAAAATTCATCTCCTCGCTAATAATGAACATGTCACACAAGTGAACTTTACTAAACGATGTTTTTCTATTTTACCAGGTCAAGGCCCACTGAGCAATATAGTTCTGTTTTCAGAAGCGACAAACGATAGCTCAACAAAGCGGCTTATCGCGGGGAATTTTATAGCAGCCAAATACTCTAAACGCGTGACGTTGACTCTACGTGTGGAGGGGGAAACCGGAGGATCCGGAGAAAATTCCACACAACCACGGGGAGAGAGACGCGCAAACTCCGAACACACAAGCATCAGGGTCGTGATCGCACCCACGACCTCCCGTACGCCAGGCGAGGTAGTAAACATCGCGCCACCGGCGATGCGCGTGGAGTACGCGTGCACTTGAAGGGGTGCAAAATTACCGAACGGGTCACGGAAGTCCACCCCGTCCGGCCAAGCCAACAACTCCCAAAGCAGTCACTCTGGGACAGCTGATCACGGATCGACTGTCGCAGAAGCGCTTTGCGACGCAAGAACGCAGGGCAGATCGGTGGCACGCGGTCACAATCAACCACGCAAATATTTTTCATTTGCGTGGTCGGGTAAAATAAACTCTCGACGCGGCGCCAAGCGACGCGCCAGAGCGGACGGCTGCGTTACCTGCTGTAGCATGCCATGCTGGTGCAGAGCACGGCGTTGAACAGCGCGATGGGAACGAAGCACCGGTGGAAAGTGCCGCCCAGCCACTTGTCGGGGATGACGTAAGCGTTGTAGACCATGGCGGAGCCTGCGGGGGGGGGGGGGGGGTCACGGAGTAGAGGTCAGACGAGCGGAGATGAACTTTTACTTGTCAACATAATTCTTTCCACCTGAAGACGGAAGCTTGTGCTGCCTCTGAAACGTCGTGATTTTTGATTTTTATTTTATTTTACTTTTATTAATTTAAATTTTTTTTACCTACGTGACTTTACCAAAAAAACCTAAGAATATAATTCTGGTGTCTATAGCTGGCTCTAGTCCCCCGCCGGTGAGATGTGCACAAATGTCTCTCGTGTGGCTCCAGTTCCGTGATAATTTGAACGTTGATAAGGTTGAGGGTTCGTCTTGATTGGGTGCTTAAATGCAACAGCATCTCAAAGCACCTCATGAAAACATAAAACCATGAAAATACAAACATCCGGGCAAAAAAAGGCCGAAATAATTACCAGGGAAAAAGCTACGTAAAATATTGAATGTGGAATATGCAAATGAAATGAAAGTGACTATTATTCTTTGCGAATCGAACAAAAGCAACGCACACATTATGCATCTTGCCAGGGCGTGCGTGTGGCCGGGTGGCTCAACGGTGGAGCGAGTGGCCCTGCAATCTCGAAGTCTGCGAGTTCACATCCTGGTTGGGGGTTGACTCGGCCCATCATCCCTCTTGGGGGTCGGTTTCATAAATTGAGTACCACTTTGTGGGGGAAGTCAACAGTAGTCAGTTGTCCTATGGATAAACTCGCCACCGCCATAGGAACGGGGAGTTATCCACCACTGGGCTCAGGACTGGAAATCAATTCAATTTCTGATGTATGTATATTTAACTTCTTCCTTACCGTACGTAGCCAACTGTGCTTTATGGGAGGTGCGTGTCAAAATCGGACTTCAACGTTACGTGCAACGCTCTGAACGACGGTGCCCCCCCCCCACCCCCCACCCATCCCCCTCCCCCCACCCCCCACCCACCCCCCCACCCCCCACCCATCCCCCTCCCCCCACCCACCCCTACCGAGGCTGTAGAGGCTCAGCGCCGCGTAGTCGAAGAAGAAGCAGATGTGACGCGCGCGCTGCGACATGGTGCTGAAGGTGTGCGCGCAGGTCGACGCGATCGGGTAGACGCAGCAGCTCAGCATGAAGACGGCGAGCGGCCAGTGGTACGGCCTGCCCAGCAGGTCCCCCTCGCCCCACAGCACCAGCAGCCACCACGCGAAGTACCTGCCGCAAACGCAACGAACCGGAACGGAAACGGAGGGTCTCTGAACGCAGTTGGGGCGACGAGTGGCACGGATACGCCGGTTGCGTTTGGGTCCGCGACAGCGCTGCACGGAGTTGGCGGTTCGTCACCTGCGAGTTCTGCGAATGTTCATGAAGATGCGCGTAAAATATCATCACGATTAGCATCGCGATCGATCCGACTTTCATTGCTCCGTCTCATCGGTGGGTTTCTCCTCTCTCCTCGGACGCGTTCCATCCCTCGGCCCCCGCCACTCCCATCGATCCTGACCATCGGCCATCCCTTCGAGCGACGTGTCCAGCCGAAGCCCACTTAAATTTCTTAACAGGTTGAATAGACATCGTGTGAATATAAAATAGATGATGTAAAATCTCAAAATCGCAGTCACTTACCCCTCTTTGCCAATGAGCACAGTGGCAAGGACCTAGCTGCAAAGACTTCCAAGGACACAAAGATACAGCACACCCCACTAGGCATGCAATCGCCGCAGCGAGCTATCACCACAGGCGGGGGAAAGCATACGTTCAAAACGTCTTCTCAAAAGGTGACACGAGTGTGCAGCCATTGTGGAACAATGTGCGTCTTCAGCCCAAATCCAAAGGATCCCACGTTTCCACCGTTACGAAAAGTAAGTGGACTTTGGCGGAGTGACTGTCGCTGAAGACAAAAAACGAAATCGGCTGGTTTGCCGGAGCTGGACGGAATGCTGCCTTACAAGATCGGGGAGAGATAGCTGTGGCTTGGGGAGACCCTCATCCAGCGGTTAACAGATCTCGATTGATAAGGATTCTAAAGGGAGAAGTTTAAGTTTAACACGGCGCTCCGGCTCAAGCGCCACCATGAACAGTTTCAATGGCGTTTACATAGCGATCGTTGGCCACGACTACCTGGTCATAAACCATCCTCAATTGTTCAGGAGAGTAATAAAATCAAATATAGAACAATATGCAAAATAGTCTATGGAGCCCGTGACACGTTTTACTTTGGTACAAAACTTAAATAGAACGTGTCAGTCAATTGGCTGTGCCGGGCGGTGGCGGGTTTAACGACACATTGAAATTACGCGATTAAACTATTTTTTTTTTAAAGAGAACATGTGACACTAATAATTCTCTAATGGACTCCTCTTCCCAACAACCTAACATTTGTATTCAAAGATCAAAAAAGACAAAGAGCAAGCGAGCTTTAAAAAAACTAATTCAACGTGCAGGACACAGAACCACAAACCAACGAGTGCACGTTACCATGTTGGGAGAAAATGCGTCCAAATGTTGATCGTCTCGTTCGTGAACTGGAATATGCTGCAGATGCACTCCCTTGCCGAGCTCCTTGGGTTCCGGTAACCAGCGAGGATGCCGTCCTCGTGGAAATCCTCGGGGAAGAACACATTTCAAAAGCAATGTTTCAAAGGGGTGGCTAAGCAGTTTTTTTTATCGATCAATATTCATTTCTAAGGAACGCGATTCGCAATGCCTAAAGTTCTGGTACGCAACAATAAAATCGGAGCAAAAAAAATACGACGCATTTAAGACATTATCAGCAGAGCACTTTTGATTAAAATTCTAAAACACGTTATCGTTTGTAGGCAAGCGTGCTCGGACAAACTCATCAACGATAAACAACCCGAAATTGTAATCATTTGCGACACTATGATGCTAATAATGATAAGGAGAACTTTAAATCCGAATTTTACAATGTGTTTCGACTTCAAGGGGAATCCGAAGGGCTGTGAAGCTCTTTTTTTACAGGTGCCCAGTAGGGGCGGGTCAGCAAGTTACAACAACAACAACAAAGAAACACGATAGGAGTACAAAATAGATAAAAAGTCACTAAATGTAAACAAAGAAGACATTAATTATAAGAGTCAGATTCATCAAGCTTGGGCAAGGCGGCAAAAACAACAACAAAACAGTCCCAGACCACACCAAGATAACGCCACACAGGAGTAGATCCTCGGTAAGATGGCACATTGAACACAATGAACTATCGATACACGGGGAAAGGAAATATCGATTCCAAGTGCCGAAATGAGAGCCGCAGCACATCCAGAAAGGGGGTTAATCATTGCGGGTGGGCTTAAACGCGTCAGCGTACAAAGTTCCCTCTCCGCCGCTCTGCAGCAGCCGCAGCGAGCCGGGGTCGAGTGGGTGGTGTGGATGGGTGGTGTGGGGTGGTGTGGTGTGAGTAGTGTGGTGTGGGTGGTGTGGTGTGGGGTGGTGTATAGGTGCGGTGGTGTGGTTCTTCTGTGGTCGAGGTTCCTGCGGGGATTTTGTTTTGCCAGCTCACCTGGGGCACCTGGTGCACGCCGAGTAGGGGAGGGACACCCATCATGTTCATCGCGATGCGTCGATCTTCGCCTCGTCAAGCTCCTCGGGGCCACTTGTACATCTCCGGGGACGCGGGGCCCCCACGCCGCGCACGTGTGCCGGAAGGGGACGTCCGCGACCGGTTTTGTAACTTCGCCAAAGCGACGGAGGCCGAACCAGTTCTGGGTCGGGCAACACCCAACCTGTGCATCACAAGAAATTACCACGCTTGGCTTTTTTTTTGTCTTTCGTCTCATCTCTCGTCTCGTCTCTTGTCGTCACGCGGCGCAAGTTTGAGCTCGACGGAAGGATTCCGCACCCGCCGATAAGGTTCAGAAATAGCCGCTGCCAGTTGTTGCCGGACACCGGTTTGTTCTTAATTTCTGTTCAACAGGGTTTTCATATTTCTCCAGGTCACTCAAATACATATATTGCACACATATTTCAAGTCCATAATAAGGGTTTTGGGGTTAGATCGCGTAAATGTTAATGTGTCGTAACCCTCCACCACTCGACAAAGCCAGTAAGGTTTGTCACGTAAACAAAACGCGACAATGAGTTTACTACTTCAGCCCACCGGTGTGTTGGAGAGTAAATCCACAACATTTAAATGGCGCGTTGTGTTTACGTGACAAACCTTACTGGCTGTGTCGGATTCGTGAAGAGTTACGACACATTTATATAAAAATAACCCAAAAACCTTTATTATTAATAATATTGGTCGCGAAAGCCTACGTGTTTAACATATATAGTCCCTATATTCCTGTACCCACATACCCGACCGGACCCAGAGTCGTTTACAGACTTCCCACGCATTCCACAGTATATAGATCAACAATTGTCGCCCCCCATATGTAGCCTTAGTGACAGCTTGTTGGGGCCGAGTGCTTGTTGGTGAGCACCTATCACAGCTGCCACAACGTACGGGAGACTCACGTGGCGAGCATCACAAACAACCCCCCCTCCCCTCCCGGTTTCCCCAGTCGCCGATGTTTACACACCACAAGCGAAGTCGACGGTTCAGGTATCACCCACCAAAGATTTTAGCCGCAGCCGAGAATCAAAACTCGCCTCGCCGTAGTTAAAAATGGGAGTTAAATAACCACAGTTCCAACTGCTCTGTGCGTCGTATAAAGTAATTGATGATCAATTTCATTTGCGGCCTCCATGTGAGGACACCGCAAGATGAATCAGTAATGGAGGGTTGTTTGACCATACTTCACCACGCTGGTCAGTGCGTGGTTGGTGAAGTCGGAGGAGAGTGCCCAGAACCGGTTCAGTTATCACTCACCACCGATTTTAACCACAACCGGGAATGAAACTCAGGTCACCTGGTTCAAAGTGTGTGTGTGTGTTGATAACCCTAACCCGTATATTTCCTTTAACAGACTGCTGGGCCAAGTGTTGTCGCGAGCAGCACTTATGAAGGTCGGCACAGCACACGAGATGGGGGGGGGGGGCAAGCTTCACGCCCAACCACATTTGTCTCCCCAGTGCCTATGTTTACACACGGAGCCGACACCAACACACACGCGCGCGCGCGCACAAATAAATGGAAAATAACAAAACTGCACGGCATGAAATCAAGCCAAGCAAAGCCACGTCCTTCAACTGTTCAACTGCAAACGATCACTCACCTGGAGGGCGCACTTTAAAATTAGCTTCAATAAAAATTCAGGTCACAAACAACGCGTGCCTCCCCCTATTCACGGCACGCGCTGTGATGTACGCAGAGAAAATGAGCGCGCGTTGGTTAAGGGCTAAATCCTTGAACCGCCAACGCCAAAATGGGCAAAGCGACCGGCCGTTGTAGTCACCACAGGCATCCGCCAACGTCCCGCCCTGCCCCATTTATTTTGCAACGACCAAGGTCACGCGTCCCAAGGCCCAATAAACACACCGGAGTAACCTTGTCGACCAAAGTATGCGGCGCTTTGCTGCTGTCATTGGGCGAGAACCTCACGGTGACAGCACCAGGCGTGGGTGGAGAGCGTCCGCATTGAATTGCCCCATGGTTAAAATTGCTCCACGATAAAGAACGTGAGCTCAACCGACAGGCTGATGACGTCGACCTGTTACACTGACGATCAAAATCAAAGCTGGGGCCCCAATAAATCGATGTCAATTAATCGACAAAAAAAATCTGAATTTGACCTCGTGTGTTTTGTGCTCGATTACCTCCGGGATTTTGTTGTTTTAAAAAAAAATTGGGGGCCGCCCAACAACGCTGCATGCCCGGCACGACAGCGCAAACAACGTCGGTGAGGTCACCAAGCCCCGCCCACCACCCCTCGTCCAGCGGCACAGGTGGTAACCAAATAAAATATTTTAGTCTCACCCCACATTTTTTCACGTTATCCGATCAGTTGAATGAATTCAACTGAAAATCCGTAGAGGAATCGATTACTTAAATCATCGGATGGTCCAGCTCTCGTCCAATTATAGACAGTTGGGTGTGTTTAATGCCTTTTGAGAACATTAATTCTAACTCCAATTCTATCCACAGCGATTTGGAAAACAAGTTAAACCAATCCTGTTGCACAGTGCAACATAATCGACTTAACTCCCGTGGGTCAAGTAACAGAGGAGGTTTAAACGTTAACTCATCGGTAAATATTAAAAGCCCCCAAAAAAACACATGCACACGTCGAAACTTGGCAATGTGAGCGCGGAAAAACTCAACCGATAATAGCAAACGACAAAAAAAACATTACGTCTAATTCGCGTCGTATGACAAACACAATCTAAAAAAATAAAACAACCCTTGAACCTATTGCGGGAGATTTATAGAGTGAATCAACAGATAAGCGATCCACTTTTTGTTCCATTTCGTAACAAAACCCAAAATGTCACTGCCGCCGCCGCAACCACCACCACCTCACTCACCCCCCAAATATTTCATGGAAATATTTTCGATATTAAAAAAACACAAGTCACTGCCATCATTCGTGAGTCACCTACCCACCCGGGGCAACGGGCGCACTGCACATATAGTCTCGGTAACGAATTTCCAACTCGGGAGGGTAAGGAATGCGCCCGGACTTGTCTCCCTCCGCACTGCATTGCGTTTGACAATGCCATTCGCAGTCACGGCTGGTTTCTGGAGACGCCCTTCGTTCGCCCACCCCAGGCAACTGCGCGAGCAGCATTGTTTGCCAGCTGTTCTCCCTCGAACATGCGAGGGACTTTACTCAAGAAAGGGGGCGAGCCAAGTTCTTCGCAATGTCAAGAAGTGTCAAAGCGGCGGGTGTAAATATACCTTATCGCTTTATCGCTCTTGGGCGGTGGGTGGCGTGGGTGGAAACATCAATTGCCGCCCGCTTACCACATGCAGGCACCTATAGGGGGGTGGGGGGAGGAGGTCCCATCACTCCTGACCACCATCACTCCTTACCACCATCTCTCCTAATAATAAGAATTAGCAAATAATAAAAAATGGTAAATGAGGAGCGTTGCAATTCTCCATTGTTTCACCTGCCAGGTTGCGCGGAGGTCGGACTGTCAACCTCGTAACAATAATGGATGGCAATCATTTAACCAGGAGAGACGGACTCGTGGAGAGTCTCACGATTGTGATGCTCGGTCAATAATATTCATGAGCGTTTGACAAATGGAAGGAAACCGCGGCACAAGAAGAAACCCCGCGTACGAATACGCGGGGTTAAACACTCAAATACCACGCACCAAATCTCCGAGCCAGTTGACAGCCCAAGACAGCCTCCCACCCACGTGTTGACCCGGCTCAACTCTGCAGTGCATCATGGCCCTTTCAGTGCAGGTGAATGTGCATGTCGTTTATTTAGATAGGCAAGCAATCAGTTGGTGTCAAGTCGATGAAACAGGAGAGTTCTGCTACGGATGATTCTTAATCAAATCGAATGTTTTCGAGTATATTATGGAATTTCATACGCAGTCGCAATTCTGGAGTGCACGGAGAACACGCCGATGTGTAACATACCTACACGGAGATAGCAATCAGAGTCTGTACAGAGGTGGTCCCGGGGTGGTGTAGATGTCGGAGCGGTGAGCTGGCACCCCTGTGATCATAGGATCAAGTCCCGGCAGCTGCGCTCGCCATTAAGCTAGGTTCTCAAACGTAGCCATGTGATCACCTCAACACGGCCACCAATGACCGCACAAAAAATATCCATCGTTATTGGATTTCGTTCCGCCATTAATTTGGCAAACTTCCATCTGAGAATAGATCGTTCGTCTCCTGACGGCAGGAGGCCCAACCAATGGAGACAAAGTGTCGTGGAAAACGACCAAAAATAAGTAAATAAAAACTCTGTATGCCAGAAACCCGCTTGCTGTACTGCGACATTTAAAATCACGCTTGGCTCGTCTCACACGGCGAGTGAAACATCCAGAGACAAAATGCCACAAAGGAATAAGTTTACCAATTTAGGACGGCCTGCATCGTAAACGCATTTTTATTCATGCCCTGCCTAATTCACTTGCCTTAGTGACGTGGTGCAGTGCGAGACCACTGGCTGCTTCAATCATTCGCTGTGAGCAATCTCCCATTGGCTTACCCACCAACCTCAAAACACAAACATCACTGATCAAGTCCCCACCACACACAATAAGAATGGGTTTCGGATCAATGTGACGCTGCGGATATTGTTTCCCAGTGGTCCCAGACGTGGCCAAGAGAACCAAGAGACACCCTTTTCTGAATCCCGAGTGTTTTTCTTGTATAATTCACTAGTCACGGCGGCTAGGAGATGTTAACTACCTCGCCTCGTATACGTAGGTTCGATCCCGACCCTGCCGCCTGCTGGATATTTGGAGTTTGCATGTTCTCCCCGTGGTCACGTAGATTCTTTTCGAGGTCCTCCGGTTTTTCTCTCCACAATTAGAATCAACACGTGTTTAGAGTATCTGGCTGTTATATATTTTCACTTCATAAGCCACTTCATTGGGCTATCATTTGTGGCCAGGTCGCTTCTGAATAAAGAGCTATACAGCTCAGCGGGCCTTACCTGGTAGAATAAAAAAAATTAAAATTTAGTTTGCCAAGATTGTTTTGCTTTGTAAACTGAACCTTGTGTGAAAAGGTAAATTTTGCTCACATTGCCAAGTAACTGAGAAGTCATAATCCTGAGCTTGCATCGTCACCGAGACCCATGGGGTTTTGGCTGCCCGTGATCAAACTGGATTTTCAAGTGTGTCGAGTTGATGGTGCCGGCTCGCTCACGACGCCATGCCTCCACAAAAATCCACAACATCATATTTGGCTGTGCAATTTATTCACGAAAAATGTGGATAAAGTCCAATTCGGAGGATTAAACAACAGCAGAAAACATTCTGTCTGTTATCAAGCGACAAATCTCATAGTCGAGTGAATGGGAAAATGCATCGCCCGCCCCCCCCTACCGAGTCAAGGATAAATAAAACATACGGGGGGGGGGGTCACCACTGCTCCACAACATTTGTGAATATATTCTCATGATCATATGATGTAGATACGACAATGTAATATTTTTTGGGGGGGGGAGGAATCTTTGAAAGAATGAATTATTTAATTTTCAGCTGCATCATGATGAATCCTAAGAGTACTCACTGGAAAGGGCGCTATATTAATCCGAAATGGTTCAAGTTCAAGTTCATTTATTTGGTATAGCCCTGTGAGCCATTCGGCTCTTGAATCGGGTGCAACCGCAACAAACAAAAAACAAAAACATGAACAAAAAAACATCTTAAAGTGGCTATGTGACTAAGTGCAAACAGAAAATCCAGGGGAAAAAAAAGGAAAAATTCCAGAAAAAAAGCACCGTACACCAACGCTGTGTGCAAAAATCCCAGTGGGATGCAAGTCAAACAACAGCAACCACAAGACAACTTAGATTATAAGGCCATCAGTCTAACTCCGTACTACAACAAACAAACATGGCCAAACCCAAAAAAATAGAATAGCATATCCACACAGCTGCTGTAAACTTAGCACACACAACGGTGTGAACTGCCGTATATTCCACAACAGTTAAATTGCAAGTTTATTAGGCGTTTGCAATTGTGGCATTTAATTTCTTCCTATGCATCACAACGATTTATACTCGGTATACAGTCAAGTTTCAGAGTAGAAAACATCGCATCGATTAATCAACACTGATTCTGAAGCTCACGGGTACACGCGCCGAATCATGTGCGTTCAGAATCAAACGTTTGTCGATACAAGTCGTATGTACAGGGTTTGTTCCAGATGTAGTGACCCCCCCCCGCCCCCCCCCCCCCATTTAAATTCAATAAAACTCACTGTACAGTATTTGAAAGTAATGTTTATTTAAAACAGAAATCAATATGCAAGTAAGAATATTTTCGGGGTCAATTAATTGGGGGGGGGGGGGGGGGTCACAATACATTCAGACCACGCTGTAGCACAATTGCGGTGCTGCATTATAGTCCGTGCGACTCCTGCAGCCTGCTGGAGGTGCTGCCATTCACAGCGATGTAGAACAAAAGATCGAATTCATTTTTTTCGTTACATCCACGAGTGATATTTAATATATGAGTGAGCATATCAATGACGCTCGCTGCCTTCGCTGCACAGAGCATTTTCATGCGAATGTAAAGCAAAAGGTGCATGTTTCGTTTCACAGAGCAAACAAGCGGCGTGTGTTAAAGGTTGCGTATGAACGTGTTGTGTTTTAAAATGAGGGTGTTGCTGCAATTCAAAGTAAACCTTCGTGTAAACGTCTCGAGGCAGGAGCATCATCAGCACTTGTAACTCTGCTATAGCTGTGATCGCCAGACGCACGCACCACGCCCTGCTGGGTGAGGTGCATTCCCTTCCCACTCAGCCCACTTAGGCCACTCACTCCACTGACCCCACTCGATTAACTCAGCACACCACCTTCACTCAACCCACTCACTCCACCCAACCCAACACCATCCACTCACTCCACCCAACCCACTCCCCCCACTCACTCCACCAACTCAGAACCCCCCACTCACTCCACCAACCCAGCACCCTCCACTCACTCCACCCTACCCAGAACCCCCCACTCACTCCACCCTACCCAGCACCCCCCACTCACTCCACCCTACCCAGCACCCCCCACTCACTCCACCCTACCCAGAACCCCCCACTCACTCCACCCTACCCAGCACCCCCACTCACTCCACCCTACCCAGCACCCCCCACTCACTCCACCCTACCCATAACCCCCCACTCACTCAACCTTACCCAGCACCCCCCACTCACTCCACCCTATCCATAACCCCCCACTCACTCCACCTTACCCATAACCCCCCACTCACTCCACCCTACCCATAACCCCCCATTCACTCCACCAACCCAACACCCCCCACTCACTCCACCCTACCCAGCACCCCCACTCACTCCACCCTACCCAGCACCCCCCACTCACTCCACCCTACCCATAACCCCCCACTCACTCAACCTTACCCAGCACCCCCCACTCACTCCACCCTACCCAGCACCCCCCACTCACTCCACCCTACCCATAACCCCCCACTCACTCAACCTTACCCAGCACCCCCCACTCACTCCACCCTATCCATAACCCCTCACTCACTCCACCTTACCCATAACCCCCCACTCACTCCACCCTACCCATAACCCCCCACTCACTCCACCAACCCAACACCCCCCACTCACTCTACCAACCCAGCACCCCCCACTCACCCCACCCTACCCAGCCCCCCCCCCACTCACCCTACCCCCCCCCCCCACTCACCCCACCCTACCCCCCCCCCCACTCACCCCACCCTACCCCCCCCCCCCACTCACCCCACCCTACCCAGCCCCCCCCCACTCACTTCACCCTACCCAGCACCCCCAATTCACTCCCCCCTACCCCCCACCCCCCACCCCCCATTCACTCCATCCCCCCCCCCACTCACTCCACCCAACCCACTCCCCCCACTCACTCCACCAACCCAGCACCCCCCACTCACTCCACCCAACCCACTTCCCTTGACAAACAAAAAACCTCCACCTGATCCGATTCATCCACTCGACCGACAAATTCCACCAACTGCACCCCCAATTCACACGCTCCAGAGCTCGCCTACGGCCACGTCGCCCCCCGAACGTAGCCGATCATCGTCACATCTCGAGACTGGAGGAGCTGGTGGTCACGGTACTTGAACGGCACTCGATTCTTGCACCCTTCCAATTGCTAGAATCTAACAACTACGTCGTACGTGGTGGGGTTTTCTCCGGGTCACTCCCAGACGAAGGCCGACAAAACCACGTTGCAGGTACACGCGGAATTCGCCACCGTTTAGGGTCGCGAGCCGGAATTGAACTCGGGTGGCTGGGTCGGTAGCCGCAGCACGCGACAAACCCGCTGCACCACCGGCTCCTCCACACAACGCAAGCGACACGACAACAACACAAGCGGTGCCACACACGCGCGCGCACGTGCTCCGCTCACAGGCGCGTTACTCACCTACCGCGTTCTCTCTGTTGACTCCCACCCCACACACGAGCAGCGCGCTCGCAGGCAACGTGCTTCCTCGCGCCGGCTTCTGGAAGACGAAAGCAAAATGCGAACTCTGGAACGCGGCCTCCTGGAGCCCACGTGCTGCGTAAAGCTGCCACCGCTGCCTCTGCGTAGCGTGGCTTTAAGGGGGCCGCCTCATCTCCATGTCACGCCCCTGGCCTCTTCCTTCCTTCGGCACGGTTCCACTCCAGCGCGCACACAACGTGAGCCGGACAAATGTTCGCGGTCCACGCGCGCGTCTCGTCTGCCTCCTGCCACTTTAAAGGAACGAGACCGCTCTACACAGGAACCAATCGAAACCCCGTCGTCACTTCGGGGAGTGGATCATTTCAACCGCATTGATTGAGTGCGAGCAATTGCCAGACCTCTTTGGACGTGCAGTGGCTCTGATCCGATATGCTTTGCTTGAATCTTTAAACTAAAAACTATTTTTTAAATTGTGTTTTACCGGCTAAGGCCCCCTGAATGAATGCTGATTAACTACCATCCTTCCAGACAGGAACCCACCCTGCCTTTACGATATGTGTCGTGGTTCTCCAGATAGTACACGTTATAGTATTACTCTTCATACCAATGAAGTGTATGTAGGAGAATACGTTTGATTATTATTATTGTTGATTAATAATTATTGAAGGGTTTGTATGTTATTCAAAAGCTATTCGTAGGTAACTTTCATATATCCATTTTAAAAAAACAGTACTGTGAATCAGGAAACATTTTTTACATTTTACATAATCATGTTTTTTTTATTCTTCTGGCTAATCGCACGATGAAGCTAGTTGTAATCATCAACGAAACGTCGTACTCGGATTGTAAATGTTGTGGGTTTACTCTCCAACACACCGGTGTGCTGAAGTAGCAACGAATTGACACGTTTTGTTTACGTGACAAACCTTACTTATTTGCTGTGCCGGGTGGTTGGCGGCTTTAACGACACCGCATTTATATTTACGCAATCTAACCCATATATGTGTATACTCTTTTGCTCTTTCGGTAAAGTCACGTAGGTATAAAAATAAAATAAAAAATAATACATCACGACGTTTCGACCGCAACACAAGCGGTTGTCCTCAGGCGGAAAAAATAATCCAGCAGTGGAACTGCTGAACAAGCGAGAGAGCTGTTACAACAAGGAGGTTATATACGTGGCGATGGGCAAGCAAGCGGGGTCTGAGCTGGAAAGGAATTCCATCCCCGAACGCAAGCACGTCAGTTGTTAATGGGGAAGATTATGGAGAGCGATTATGGAGAGAGATATTAGGGAGAGAGATTAGCATTAAATTAGCTTCCGTCGCTGCACAAGAGCACCGTCCCCGCATATGCGCACAACAGCAGTGTTAGTGGGAGATTAGCACGATGTTGATGGGAGAGATTAGGCAGAACACAAGTTGCGGCGCTGCCAACTGAGCTGTGAGAGGCAAGCGCGTCCACGCAAGAGAACCACCGCAACGGTGGTCGCGCCAGTGAGACACACAGCCCATCACACAGCCAGAACCATCGATACATCGAGGCTAAGGGAGCAGAGGTTAGTCTCGAAAAAAACAATATCGTGCGAGCTCACTGCGTTATAACAATGATCAGCCACGGCAGAGGTATTGGTTCTGCCGTGTTTCAAATCTGCCTTGTGTTCGCGAACACGTGGATTCCTATTTAAAGCCTGACTCCCACCACCATCCGGCCCAGAAGAACTTCCTCATCAAAACACTACGCCATAGCATCACCGCCAACCTCAGCAACAGCATCACCATCAACTCAGCAGCAGCATCACCACCAACTCAGCAACAGCATCACCACCAAATGAATGTGGTCCTTCGCTCGGATCAATGACATTCGTACAGGACGAGGAAACCGCATTATTACTGATAATAATAATAGTACAGGCCGGAAAACCATTAGTTTCCAACAACACAAGCACTCGGCCTTTATGCATTATGCAATTTAAAAAAAAACATCACCAGTTCCTCGTGCTGTTCTGGCTTTTAGGTCAGCACCAACATTTAATTTGACCAAATGTGACGACTTATTAAAACTGTTTGTCTTTTGTTATTATCGGTGACCACATCGTAAACACCCGTAAAAAAAAACACGGTTTCCGGTTTGCTACACACAGTACGATGACAATCAACACCCAATTGCTGTATGCAACTACAGTCCGCTTGTTTGTCTCCGTTTCACATGTTACATGCTATGCGGTGTAAACAAACTCATGGTTAGCAGACTTTGCTTGAAATGCGAAGTCTGCCAGCACGGCTTCCTGATTTTTGGAACCGGGATATATTCGATACAAAAAAAACCTGTTCAAACGGTTACCGGTTTAACAACCCTTATTCCCGACACCACCTTCAACCTCTAACCGCCGTGTCCGGGTTCGCTGCCGATACCCGGTTCCGTGTTTTGAAGTTACCACCTCCGAGTTTTACTTTCCGCCCCTGTGGACCGGCTGTGGCGTGGGCGGTTCACACCTGCTTACACAGCAGCAGCAGTTAGAAGTTGTCCTAAAAAGTTTTTTTTTTGAGCAAACAAAAAAAACGACACAAAAATGGCTTGTAAAAATTTGTGCCGGTCTTGGGTCAAATCACTTTTGTATATTTCATCCGGCCTGTCGAGTCTCCAAAACAAATTTCATTAGATAAAACAGCACTTACAAGTTAGCACGAGGAAATGAATTTGGAAATCCAGTTGAATGGCCATGAACCATTTTCTCTAACTGTGATCTTCCTTATTATACATCTGGGTCCCTAACGCTAACCATGTCACTAACACTATCCTTACTTCTAAATCATGACTCTTATAATCCGTAACAATTTTTGGGATCTCATTACTGTCCTATGCATTTTTTCTGGAATAAGTGCCGTTGTATTGAGTAAAAAACCCACATTGGAAAATATATTAAGCGCATCGAAAATAATGCCTCATTGAAACATTTCAAGACCAGGAAGGTGGAGAATACTGTCATTTTATATCCCTAATAAACATTTTATCCTCTTCACAATTATAAACGCTGCTAATAAAACCATGACAACCAACCCTGTAACCATATTCACGGCAAACGTACGTCTGCATGACGCCAACCCTCAACAGTCCCCGATGTCACTGCGGTATTACAATCTCGCAGGATTTTTCTTTCGAACAGAATGAGACTTGACATATATTGAAGTCTGCTTTGAAAACCCATCTCTTTAAAGTGTCCTTCTCTATTGAGTTTGGTCGGTTGCCCTGGTTCTGTTTTTGTTTCCTAGGATGGAACACCCATTATAAATGTAAATTATTATTTTGATCATCACGGATAATCCACAGCGGTTACTATATTCGCCAGCATAACGCCGGTCAATACACGATTCGCCAGTTTGTACATTTTAACTTCAAGGTCATTTTATTGTTTTACACGAACGATCATCCCGGTTTAGGAAGTGCACAAGGTAGGTCCGTGGTGCGTGAGCACATCACAAACAGCAACAAAGACAAACGAGCATCAATAACAGCACAGTACGAGGACGAGGCAATTAAGGAATATTGCCAAACCAACGTCGCAACTGGTTGGTCTTTAAACTCAAGCTGATAACAGGGCAGACACCTATCTCTCTCTTACGGTCTTCTCCGCTCTCAATCTCTTGGGCTTTCACTTTCGATTGTGTGGGCGCGCACAAACATACAGTATACACGTGTTTTTTTAACATCAATCAGCCACACGGCCTTCAATCTGAGTGCGTAATTTCAGCAGCATTGGGTCCTCCTGGTTTTGTCTCGCCAGTTTAGAAACACTGAGACACACGCATTGAGATGATTTAAATAATTTTGCTGCTATAAACGGTGCTAATCGGAGGTGCGGGGGGAAGGACAAAGCAGTTCTAAAGAAACGATTTCTTAATCAAGATTTAATCTCGATACACTCATCAAAATGCTCTCTCTGTGCGGGCCTGGCTTCTCTCAGTGACTTTTAAAAAAATACATTTCCCTTAATTGCTTCTCAACTGGTTCAAGTCAATCCTGTTTTCATCAGCGCAACGCCACACCCCCCCCTTACCAATTGCTCCCTATTTATGTAATCAATGCCCATTCAGTGCCTCCACCACTCACCGGCCCTTCTGTTCGCGACATATGGAGACGTGCCGGATATTTTAGTCAAGCGCATCTTTCGTGAACGCCAAGCCAATGGGTGAAATCAAATAAAACCCCTGCCGTGGCCACACGAGAGAGCATTGCAAGCGGGTGCCTGCTCGCCACGCTCACGTTTGATTTTCACTTTTGCCCTTTTTGGGTGAATGTTTCCCTCGTCAGAAACGCCACTGTTGTGCCCAATGCGTTTCTCAACCTCGATTGAATTTATTTCACTGGATATTCATTCGGGACGTGCCACCGGACCGGCGCCCGGAGGTGGCACGTGACTCGGAATCGCACCTCCGATGATGCGCCGTTGGCTACTACGTACGTACGGTGCGAAGGAGGTTCAAAGTATATCGTGAGTGTTGTGTGCCGGGAGTGTCAATAAATTCCGCGTCGCCGACCCCGTTTCAAATGAAGCCGAGCGCACGCACGCGCGCGCGCGTACACGTCCGGTATTGCAGTGTGTCGTCAATCGATAGAGATTGCAATTAACTTTCCAATTATCCATCCACACACCTCACAGAGGGTTCGTGAAATAGCGCCGAGACTGCATTCTCTAACGAGATAGATTTCTGGCACGCGCGACTGAGGGACACTTTGGACAACAACAATAATCACGCGAGCATACGATGCACGCCTCTTTCTCGGATCTGTTCCGTGCACTAAAGAACACATTTTCGTCTTCACACAATCACACACCCATCAGCCACGCGGCCTTACTGAGAGCGCATACATTGCAGCAGCAGTCGTTAAACACAAGCCAACTCTGGGAGCTGCTTTCAAAAAATGCAGTTTCTGATCAGCGGTGTCAGGCTTGCTTGAACCGATCAATGCTGGTGACCTGCCAAGATGTCTAAGAGGCAAGATGCCTGTGGCGCCTATAGGTCCCAGTTCGCTCCAAAACTAGATCGGGCATAAATCGTTCGCGTAAATTGGGAGAATGTAAATGACCGAATAAATAAGCGGACTACACGTACAGTACATGCCTTGACGCCAGTGAATTATGTTACCCGTATTTTGGCATCCTGACTCGATCAGTGACACTTTGGTGATTCATGCGGCAGATCGGAGAA